CTTTTTTATCTATGTAATTCTGTTATTTGTATATTTTATATATACATTGGAGGGAGAGTGTTTGGTAGAGTCTTATTTTTGTACTTTGTAGATTTCATATATTTTTGCCAAATAATTAAATAAGACTGAGTAAACTTTAAATTTAAACTCATTCAAAACTAACTAGCGGACCAAATTTAAAATATTTTACTTAAAAATAAAATGACTAATATATAGAATAACTTGATATAATTTAAATATTTAAATATAATACTCCTCCAGTCCTGAATATAAAACCTAAATGTTAAGTTGATTTTGATCTTAAATATAAGATATCTCTTATATTTATTAATTTTTCCTAAATTATCAAGTAGAAGAAAAAAGAGAATATTAAGAAAGATGATTATAGTGTTTTTAAAAGAAAAATATGCCATATTTTTTATAGCCATATTTTTTAATTAACTAAATTACCTAACTTCTTTAATCTAATCAAATTAGTTAAATACGTATTATATTAAAAACCGAAAGAGTATGATATACTTCTCCAATCCTAAATGTAAGACCTATTTTGTAGTGTACAGATTAATTAAATAGGTATTACATTAAAGACCGAAAAGTATGATATACTCTTCAAAATATCCAATTATAAATGTAAAACCTATTTTATAGTATAAATTATATTATAAAATAATTTTAATATTTAGGAGAATATAATAAATAAAATATCTAACAAAGTAGGCCAAAATTATAGATAGATATATGTTTGTTTATGTCAAAAGTAGGTCTCTTGGAAAAATGTACCTCACATGCTTTTATTTGTTTATAGCGCCAGGTGTTACGGATTAAGTAAGTTCTTCTTGATTCTAATCTTCTAAATTCACTAATTTAACTTGCTGGTCCAAAAAAATTCACTAATTTAACTGCATGAGGTACATTTGGAGAGATGCAAATAAAAAACTTAAGATATATACAAATTTGTACAGAAACTTTTCAGTTTTCACTCAGTAATACTGGGCAGTTAAAAGTTTTGTTGGGGTGAAATTCCTACCATTTTAAATTTTTAGGATAACTTTACACTTTATAAAACTTATGAGTGTCACGCTCATGAGTGAAAAGTTTTAGTATACATTTACATTTTAATCCTAAAAAAAATAAAAATAAAAAGTGAAATTTAATGCGTAATCACATTTTTATGTCAAATTTGCTATTTAAATACAATAATGTGCTTTAAATGCTAAAAAGAAAAAAGAAAAAATTGGCTAATAGTCTCTATTTGAAGACTTAATTGACTAAAAAGATCTAAATTTGAACAAGTACAACCATGATCCGTGAGTACAATTCTTCTTTCGTTATATAACATATCATCAATGATGTGCAAGTGCAACAATCATCAATACAAAAGTCAGTTGCACATGACGAAAGATAAGTTGGATACAGCGGAAAAAAAATTACAGTTATAATCATAATTACACACACACTCAAATTTAGGCTTTTTTAACCAATTAAATTTTTTCCGTCCAAAAAAAACCAATTAAATTTTTAAATAGGGAGTTTTCACCAAATTTCTCTGGAAAAAAAATCAATTTTATAATTATTTTTGTGTTGTTGAGGGTGACACAAATTATCCGAGAGCACCGTCACATGACTTGCCTTCCAGCTATTGTCCACCATCATCTTGATTTTCTTTCATGTTGAAAATGAGTGATACCTATCCGCATATATTTTATCTTCTTCTTTCAACTAGCTGGATCCAATTTAGCCTAATACGTATTGATTACGCTTATATTGTTTATTCTAATTAAACATATTTCAACAATCCAAATCAAGTAGTGATCTCGTTGCATATCTTAGAAATTTGTAAGGATACGTTTAGCACAACTTAAATATTTATCTGGTGCTATTTTTAAGTTACTTTCAACCTAATTTATCAAATCTAAGAAAATTTTCAACTTCGTTAACTTTACATTTAAATTTAATAATTTTTCCACCCTTATCCCTACTTTTTTTTTTTTTTTGCCAGCACTATCACTATTTAATGTATACACTTTTCAAGAATAATAAAATAATCTACACAATAATAAAGAAGAAAAAATAGTACATTCATATTAAAAATTTAATAAGATGACTTATAAATAGGATAAGAAAATTTTTGTCTCTTCCTTAGAAAATAGAATTAGAGGAGTACATGTAATTGGCGTTGTGCATTTTTATTAATCAACATTTTGAAAATTAACTTCATTATATAATGTCATCAATATACCAATTATTTAACTTTAATTGAATCAACATATGATCAATATATTTGTATATTTGCACCATTTACAAGTCGTAAATAAATATAATTTATTTCTTTAAATTCAAACCAATAAACAAAAAAAAACACATATAATTACATATTTAAATATGGAAGTCCTGAATTTAAGAGCTTTAATTTATTACGTAGGTGGATTGTTGACTTTGAATAATACTTCCTACTATCTCCTATCCTTAATATAAGAATTAGAATGCTAGATAACTAATTTAAAGAGATTAAGAAAATTAGTTAAGTTAGTTATTTGTAATAAATATTTATTGACTTTCCTAAACAATCTCTTCAATCATGTGCATCGGAATAAGCGCTAGTATAAATTCCTTATAATCAATAAGAATATTTTTTTAAAAAAAAGTTATAAGTTTAAAAGACAGAATAAATTGAGATCTTATATATATTTAGAACTAAATCTAATCCTAATTAGCTCTTATATTGAGCACCGAAGCTAGTGTGTGCTAATAATAATAAAGAGAAAATTCTAGAAAAACTTAATTGGGAGGACTACTCTGCCTTTAACCCTCCGTATCTCAAGAGATATTAGCCTGCCGCCAAATGATACTTTTGATTTTGATCCCTAAACAAAAACGTTGTGTCGGTTAAACCTAACATTACTTTTTTTCATTCATAAAATAATCAAACTAAAAGAGTTATAAACACACACACACACATAAATACATTCTTATTAGTATCACACATGCGCGAAGGAATTAAACCTCAAAGCTGCAATGGAGGCTATGTGCCTAATAATAATAATGAGAAGTTTCTAAGATTAGAAGAAACGATATCAAATGAAGTTTCGTGGGATAAAGTAAGCTCAGACTATTTACCAGATATATGTGGCTTAGATTAGTTTAGCCTGTAATAAATGATCCAACATGGTGGCGGTGGGACAAGACTAGTATGTTACGAAATGGTTAAATGCCAAATATATAGACCTCATTTATCGGTGAATTTCGCACTTATTAGATTTTTTGGCAATTTCAGTACTTGAGTTGGACAACTTTATAACGCAATTAAAAGCTTAGAACAACCCCATCTGCATTAACTATTTGACTCAAAATCCTTTTGAAGATTAGTTAGGGTATACTCCTCCATTCTAATTATAACTCACTTTTAACATATTTCATACAGACAAAAAAAAAAATTTAAATTTTATTAATTCTCATTTAAAATTTAACAACTTTTCAAATTTGTTCCTATTTAATATATATTATATTTTATGTAAATAAAGTTAATACAATAATAAATAAAAGGTAACATTATACATCCATACAAAAAAATTTTCTTGGTACCCTATAAATAGTACCAAAAATATCTTTATTCTCTGTCCTATAAATAGGACTAGAGGAGTATATAGTTTTTTTTTTCAACTATATATATCCATTTACTTACTATTATATTAATTTTTTAAGTTAACGTGAATGTTATACAAAAGGTACGTCGTTATTTAGAACATTAAACAAGCTAAATTACTCAAACGTCCTTTTTATTTTCATATTTTAAAAAACTAGTATTCTGATCAATTTTTCTAAATAAATATTTTTATCTTTTAATAAATGTACTTTTAGGACAAATAATATTTATTTTTTTGGTCATCATATGGAAAACTCATTTCAGAAAAAAAGAATTGGGGGAAAAAACTGATATTCCAGATTGTTAAAAGCATAAAAAGGAGTCAACACGGCAAAAGTATTAATATCATCATCGACATGAAAATGTGCTCATCATGATCTGTTCTTCAACAAAATAACTAAGTTGGTAGAAAGAATTAAATGATCAAGGTTGCGTCAAGATTTTCCTCAAATCTTAAGATCTTATGCTCAAAATTCAAAGCATTAATTATTGATGGTGCCAATTGGAAAACAACTCTATGCTCTAGCTACGCACTCTCTCCGATCTTAAATATTAGAGATAGATAACTAATTTAGAGAAAAAAATTGGATAAAATAATAATTATTTGTAAAAAATGTGTTAATTTGTTTACTGTGCCTCTTTTTAATCATTTGCATTTGGATTAACTCACTTGATGAAAAACTATCCCTTAATACATGTAGTCAATAAGGACAAGCATTTTAAGAAAATATTAATATAAATATGATAGATAAAATGAATTGAGATCAAACTAAAACAAACTTTTTTATTAGCTCTTAAATTCAGGATATAACAATATAAATTAATCAGACAAAACAAACAAAAATCTCTTCCTAACGGAATTTAAAAATAAGACATGTTGTTCATGACTATGATATTAAAGATCATATATCAAGGATTACCATAAATTTTATACGATATCAATATATCGATACAAGAAATTAGAGACAGCAATGATATCAATGTATGATATAAACTCTACATATTATGTCACATTATTCATAAATTACATATAATATGGGATTTTTTTTTAATAGAATTCATGCAATACATTTGCCTATATACTAGCTAGTTTGTGGTTAATATATTAGTACTGCTACTTAAGTGTAGTACTTACGGTGGTTGAGAGTTGAGACAAAGCAATTATGAATTCACCGGCCAATAAAAGTATCTTCTGAACAAGTTTGATTTTTGTTGCCAAGTGTTTGGATGAAAATACCATTAAAGTCCTTGTTTGTCAGAGTGAAAAGGAGATCCCAACTACGATTATTAAGTGCAATATCATCTTCCTTGGCTCTATAAATACTTCATATTGCATGTTGCTCACTACAAGCGAAGCAAGGCATTGTGTTTGAATATTTCTGTGTTTGAGTGAAAATGGGGAGATTCCATAAATATGTTGGGGTGCTTGCTTTGGTGTTGGCATTTGTTATAGGAATAGCAGAATGCCGCTCAAGATTAACAAATGAAAAGTCAGTGGAGAACTTTGGAGAAGGTGATGGTTTGGGTGGTGGGTTCGGAGGTGGTGCTGGTGGTGGTGGCGGAGCAGGAGGAGGAATCGGTGGAGGTGATGGCGGTGGCTTTGGAGGAGGTAAAGGAGGTGGCATAGGAGGAGGTATAGGACATGGTGGTGGAGTAGGAGGAGGCGTTGGAGGTGGACATGGTGGTGGTATTGGTGGAGGTGGTGGTGCAGGCGGAGGGATAGGAGGTGGTCATGGTGGTGGAATTGGCGGAGGCGGTGGAGCTGGAGGTGGTGGCAGGTGGAGGCATTGGAGGTGGACATGGTGGTGGTGCAGGCGGAGGGATAGGAGGTGGTCATGGTGGTGGAATTGGCGGAGGCGGTGGAGCTGGAGGTGGTGCAGGTGGAGGCATTGGAGGTGGACATGGTGGTGGTGCAGGCGGAGGGATAGGAGGTGGTCATGGTGGTGGAATTGGCGGAGGTGGTGGAGCTGGAGGTGGCGCAGGTGGAGGCTTTGGAGGTGGTAAAGGTGGTGGGATAGGAGGTGGTCATGGCGGCGGTGTGGGAGGTGGAGCAGGTGGTGGTGCAGGCGGAGGAATCGGAGGTGGTCATGGTGGTGGTGTGGGAGGAGGAGTTGGTGGAGGTGGTGGAGCAGGTGGTGGTGTGGGAGGTGGACATGGTGGCGGTGTAGGAGGAGGAGTTGGTGGTGGCGGCGGTGCAGGAGGTGGCCTTGGAGGAGGAGCTGGTGCAGGTGGTGGTGCAGGTGGAGGCTTTGGAGGAGGCAAAGGTGGAGGAGGAGGACTTGGTGGCGGCGGCGGTGCAGGAGGTGGAGCTGGCGGAGGCTTCGGAGGTGGTGCCGGTGGTGGCGGAGGAGTCGGTGGTGGCTTCTAGTTTTACAAATACTTAGTTATAATCTTATAATCTCTAATACGTCCAAGTCTTATCCATGCAATATGCTAGCTTCTTAGGTACTTGTAGATGCAAGTACGCATCATATATCAATGAAATAAGTCTGAGTTTTTGCCATATGCTAAAGTCTTATATTTGCTATTCATCTATTAATCTAATAATTTAAATCACCAAAATAGCGTAATTTGATTTTGATTCTTACAAGCACAGTGAGAATTAATGCAAGTTAATCCTAAATCAAAGTAAAATTGCCACAAAAATTGTTAATATATAAAATGTAACAAAAATTATTATTTCTAAATATCAGTAAGTAACTAAAAAATATCATCTTAGAAACCGAGATCGATCATCAACAACCAATATTAAACTTGACAATTTTGAACAAATCACATTATAACACAACTAGTCATCAACATATGAAAGAATCAATGATACACACACACACACACACACACAAAAGGCAAGTTTCTGGTTTACATATGAGAAAACCTAACAGCCCAAGAATAATCAAGAGGCACAATTATATTAACCCCCTTCTGAATCTAAGATCAATTGGGATAACACAAGCTAGAACATAAGCGCAAAAACAGTTCCTTTATATAAATTATAGGAGGAGTTATTAGGAGAGTTATCTAATTACATAGCTTCGAATAGTTTAAATTAAAACAGATCATCATTAAGGAATTGAAACCCCCTTGCAGACACGTACGTACATCGGAGTCTTCAAACGACAAATTACATTAGTTGCCAACTTTCTCAACTAGATCGATATATATATATTCATGCGATCATATATATATACACCCACACACACACATGTATATGGTTTATAGGTGAGCAGGAAGCCACTCCTTGCCATCAATGAAATCGACAGATATGAAGGGTTCAACTTCTTTTTCAGTAAGCTGTTTGGCCCAGCTAACTCGTTTTGTAGTATTAGCTCCAGGTCCAAAGTTCTTGTACTCGCCATGGAATAAGCTCCTGCAATAATTAATTTCAATAATATATTAATATTTACCACAAAATATAATGATATCAGTCATGCTTTGAGTAATAGTAATAATAGTCTTTTGTCAATATCAGAGTGTTGATCCTTTTTTGGTCCCTCTCTGGAGAGTTTCTAAGTCTGTGATTGTGGCTTGTCGTCGATTTTGACCCTACTTTTTGAGGTCCTTACGTGTGATAGTAACATGTGAATTTGTTATCCGTCAAATCATCAACTTAATAGGTTTCCTTAATTAGTAGAATATATACGACTTTTTTAATATATCTTTCTCCTTATATTTCATTGGTTCAGGACAACTCTTCCTTCTTCTTTATTTTTTTTGGTGATAAAGTGTGCAACTTTGTTTTTTATTTTTTTCAAATAATATTTTTAATATTTGTCGTGTGGCACCTATCCAAGAGAAAATAATTGAAAATCGCTTAAGATGGTTTGGACATATACAGAGAGGCCATTGGAGGCTCCGGTGAGGAGGGTAGATAAGACAATATGGAGTCCCATAAAAAGGGGCAGAAGAAGACCGAAAAGAACGCTTAATGAGGTCATTGAACGAGATCTCCTGGTCAACAACATATCTAAGAATTGGGTTGTTGACAGAACACGATGGCGTCGTGTGATTTATGTAGCAGACCTAACTTAGTGGGATAAGGTTTGTTGTTGTTGTTGTAGTATTTTTAATATTAGAAAGATGAATACAAATATCTGAAAAACTTTCTAAATTGTCATCTCTCCAGGAAAAAAATATCTAGTTGTAGTTATGATTATGTGAACGATAGGTTATAAATTATGTGGAAAAATTTATCTGCAAGTCCCTATAATTTTATTGGTTGATTTTTCAATCAAGTTCAGTAATTTTTTTTTTATCAGGTCCTTATAGCTTCACATGTTGCATGTAATAAGGTCCATATAGTATTTTTCTTAAAATCGGTCCTTATTGTTTCGCATGATTTTTAATCAACTTCCTATAATTTCAAGTAACTGATAAAATGAATAAAAAAATTGCGGAGGTCTAATAAAACTGCAGTGAAATTAGCTATAAAAATCTGATAGAATAATAGGAGGGGAATGAGAAATTAAAGGGACATACTGAGTGGAGCCAGCGTAACTCCAGTGGGCCCACCCCTCAGGAGCAATAGTGGCAGAGAGATAGGCTTTAGCAAAAATGACCCTTGAATGAGGACCCTTGGCTCTTCCCAGGTACACCCCTCCTATGCCATATACCTTTCCTTTCACAAACACAAACCCACTTTCCTCTGATTCTGACTCTCTGTTCTGTGCTGTGATCGACCCCTTTATCACCGTCCTCTTGTCATCTATCACAAATATCTCACATTTCTGCATCATTCCCATTAATCATTATTATTAATGGGTATCCAATTTTGAAGAGAGATACATAGATACTCTCTCTGGTTCTTAATATAAGATTCACTATTTTAACAAAAAAATTGAATTATAAAATGAATCTTATATTAAGAGTGTGTTTGGGTGACACCAAACCATGGTTTGGGGTGTCAATCACCCAAACACCCCCTCTAAAAACCAAAACCATGGTTTTGGGTCAAAACCATGGTTTTGGAAAAAGCAAAATTTTTTTGCTTTTGGAGAAAAAAGGGAGAGTGTAAGAGCCTATATGATATGTATCTTGTTATTTTTTTTTATAACATATTTTTTGATAAACATATTTAATCTTATATTTTATAATATATATACACATTAATTATTTATTAATTATATTATCTTATGTATTATTAATTATGTTGGTAAAAATATATTATTAACAATTTTATTCCTTCAAATTAAAATATATCATAAAATCTATTTTTTCTGTAATTATCATATTAACTTATGTCTTTTTTTTAGTAATTTGTATATATAAAAAGTGCTTCTGATAACAACTATCCAAACACTCTCACTTCTCAGAATCACTTTTTTACAAAATATATTCTTCACAGAATCTATTCTCTCCAGAATCACTTTTTCAAACCACGGTTTGGTTTCATCCAAACACCCCTAAGTACTGATGTAGCGATTGATAATGTACTTACATGGAAGAGGGATCTGCCGCGGCCAAAGATGAAATCAATAGAGCCTTGGATGTAGCATTCATCATAGTAATGTCTGCCTTTGTAATCAAACAAAGTGTTGTGAGTGCTATAGAACGCACAATGATAGAACCCTACTTTATCAGCTCCTACAAATGCTGCCACTGATTGGTTCTGCGACGTGTAAGCAACCCCAGTAGGCGCCTCGTTCTGCAAAATATCCATTCATTACATATATTCATATATATATATATATATATATATATATAAAATCAATCACAGATCATTGAAGAAGAAGAAGAATTGTCTATACCTTGATGCTGACTCCAAAGACAATGACGTTATGAGCTTCGACTTTGAAAGTTGCAGATTCTATATTATCAACAGAACTCTGAGACCAAACTATAGCAGTTTTGCCTCTCCCATTTCCTCTCAAGAATATGTACGGCTTGTTCTTTGGTATCGTTACCTTCTCTCTGTACGTGCATTATCACAATCATCAAAATCATCAAAACTAAACATGTTTCTCGGTTTCTCGGTACATTACATGCAACTTTAGAAAACCCTAATAAATTGTATGATTAACCCTAAAAAGATGTCACATTTTGTAAGTATGTATATCTACCTGTATACTCCTTTCCTGACGTGGACGATGACCCACTGAGAATTTCCTTCAGGAATAGAATCTATGGCAGCTTGAATGGATCTGAATTCTCCATCGCCTTCATCATCGACCTTAATGGTTCGATTCGCAGGAATGTTTTTGGTTAATAAAGGAGAATCGATGACTAAATCTTGTAGCTCGATGGTACCAAGAACATAACTAGGGCATGTTGCTAAGAACAACACAATAGAACACAGAACTGGCTTTATTATGAACAATGAAGGAGGAGGAGAAGAAGAGGAAGGCATTGTTTTTAGTTTTCTCCGGAAGGGGAAATCGAAATATTGAAGTTTTTTGGTTTGTGAGAGGCGCCAAGTTATAGAAGGAGGAGAAAATGGGAGGTTTGCTTAATTAAGTGCGAAGGCTTTTATTTAGATATTAATTAAATAAAATAGGGTAATTAATGAGTGTTGTTGAATTGAAAGAAGGGATTTTTGTTAGGTGTTTGGTACTGTGTCTATAATTAAGGGCATCCACAGGTTGATTTTGCGGCTCGCATGTAATAAATCTCTTTTCTTAAGTTTCAATTTTCTATTTTAATTTCGGGTAAAAGAATCAAAGATTAAATATAGCAGGGAAATATATAACATCCAATTGAGCAATATTTTGGTACATGTTTACATCTAAATTCACGGAAAATTTTTAGGTAATTTCTATCCAGCAAACAAAATATCTAGTGTCCATAAGTTATAAAGCAATGTATTTTTCTGTCTCACTTTATCAGAAAATGGAGACACCACCTCAGTTCTCACAATATATGTGTGTGTGTGTGTGTATATATATATATATTTTCTTGCTCATCAAAACCATCTCTGTAACTTTCATGAGGAATTTTATCACGAACTCTATATATAAAACCCAATAAGAAAATTTCATGAGGAAAATTCATGAGTGTGTGATGATGCTTTTTGTAGTTAAAGCACTCAATTAAACTAGGTCCTAATTAATTTGTAGTTTAGGATTGACCTAGATTATTACTTCTAAAGAGCAACTTATGGGTTTTTTTAGGTAAAAATTTAGGTGATAAAAAAAATGCAATAAATTGTACCTAAACTAAAATGCGAAATTCTAATTCTAAATGCAAGATGCAAATGTCTTAAAATCTATATGAAAATTAAATTAAACTTAAATGAATGTGATGCAATTTTTGGAGGGATTTTTTTGGGAAAAAATTAAAATGATAAATGAAGAAAATTGACTAAAGAGCGAAAAAAATTAACAAGTGAAAATTGAGAAGTTCTCTTCGGTAAGGTAGAGGGAACAACTTAGAATT